ACCTGCCACAATACCTAGCTAGTTTTCTATTTTTAGTAGATACAGGGTCTCGCTCTTGCTCAGGCTGGTCTCAAACTCCGGACCTCAGGCTATCCACCAACCTTGGCCTGACAGTCTGATAGGATTAGTAGTGTGAGCCACCATGCTAGCCAGGCCATGCGTTTTGATGTGAACAGGTGATCTTGCATTGCATATGTATGCTCGTGCTAGTAGAAAAATGGCAGGGAGAAAGCGTGTGATGATATTGCAGTGTAGATTTTTGAGAACAGTGAGGTGATGAAAGTGAGCATGAAGAAACTCTTCCTATATGCAGTGATATTAGTTCCAGTGAATCTGAACCTAGTGATGAAGAAAGTGACAATAATACACAATCCATAACTAGTAGCTGGAAGGCTTATTGTGCTGGTGATGGTTATCTTATAAAGTTCCTGTACTCTGTCACACAACAGGGATTCACCTTTCTTCAAAGTACTCAGCCAAAAACTGAACTTGAATATTTCTAGCTTTTTCTCAGATGACCTTATTGGTGAAATTGTGACTATGACCAATATGTACAGAAAATATGTGCAGAAAATATACAGGTGACTCTACTAACAAAATACTGAATGTGGCATTCATGGAAGGATATCTCATCTGGTGTAATACTCAACATGATTCTGAATTTGAAGGTGCAATTAGTTGACTGTTTTGCAGAAGATTGGCTAGACTGAACCCCATTCTTCAAGGATATTTTCTCTTTATCTTTGTTTTTTCCAAATATTTTCTATGCTGCATTTAGTTCCTTCTGTCACAGCTCAAGGGAGTATGCCTACCCAACAGAGCAAAGTGAAGAATGTTAATATGTTGGCTGTAACTGCAAAGAACTTTATGAATCAGGAGGAATGTGGCTACAGATGAGAGCATAGCAGGTTTCAAAGGAAGGATTCAACTCAAGTGGTACAATCTGAAGAACCTTACAAAGTGGGGCCAATTAATTTTTTACCTGTGTGATTCAGAAAATGATCATGTTTTCACACCTCCTCTAATGGCAAGACAAAAATAGTAAGTCTTATTTGTCCTAATTTGCCACTTATGTCTCCAACATTGATTCATTTGGCACAAGTTTTGCAAGCACATGTGTGGTTCAGGCTATCACATCTGACAGGTGCCACATAAGGACAGGAGTTGCTGCATAATATGAACAGAGATAGAACATAAATCGTTCTGGCTTCTAGGAAGGATTTTCCAAGTGATCTGAAAAAGAAACTTCAGAAATATGAATTACATGCCTATCAGTGTAATGTGAAAATGATATGCCTCTCATCCCATGACAAGAGGTTAGTGACAATGCTGAGTATGTTCTTTGGCCCTCAAACACAGTTGATCACCAGTTGTAGGAAGAAACAGCCTGTTCAATTTAAAAAACCAAAAGCTATTTTAGAATACACAAAGTTTACAGTGGAGTGGACAGAGCTCATCAGTACTATGAATGTTACAGATTGACAAGGAGGCCCAACAAATGGTGGGAAAAAATATTATTCAGGCTGACGGAAGTTGCCTTTGTGAACAGCTACATCCTTTACTCATTAGAGAAGTGAAGAAAGAGTGCAGAAAGATCTATCTTATAGGAGACATCTCATCATTTAGCTTGTGAGCAATGTAAGGAACAGAAATTCAAGAAGGGAAAATCATCATCTTCTGACACTGAGGAAAGGCTAAATGGGAGGAAGCATTTTATAATGAAAAATGAAAAAAAAGTCAGTGAAGGATTGCACAGTTTGTGACAGAACAAATGAGAAAGGTGGAAGGAAAAACCATTTTCTACTGTGAGACATGTAAGAGGAAGCCTGGACTTCATCCTGGAGATTGTTTCAAGAAATATCACACTCAAAAATATTATCAATAAATATAAAAACCTTTAATTATTTCATGAAACCTAAAACAGATAACAAAAGCATCAGCATTATGTTTTTCTCTTTTAAAACTATAGGATAATCACAATTCACCAACCTCTTTTCTGCACCAAATAAATAAGAGCTGGCGAGTATGCAGGTGGCAGCAAAACTGGATTGAAAAGGGTTAAAAAACAATAGCAGGACATAGCAGCTCATGCCTATAATCCCAACAACTCAGAAGACTTAAGCAAGAGGACTGCTTAAGATCTGGAGTTTCAGCCCAGCGTGGGCTATGTGGCAAGACCTTGCCCCTGAAAAACTAAGAAAAATCAGCCAAGTGTGGTGGTGTACACCTGTAGTTCCAGCTACATGGGAAGCTGGGACAGGAGGATCACATGAGCTCAGGAGATCAAGGCTGTTGTTAGCTCTGACTGTGTCACTGCATTCCAAGCTGAGCAACAGATCAAGATCCTGTCTCAAAAAAACACAAAATTAAAAAGTGATTAAATAAATAAAAGCCAGTATAAACTTATTAACTGTTTTAATCACGTGAGCACCCACATATATAATACAAAAAATGATATGTATTTATATAAAGCTATTTCTTGTTCTGGTAACAGAGACGATGCTTATAAATGTATATAAATTCATGCACTATGTGGATTAGGCTGCTGCCTATAGTAGTCTCAGAAAATAGAATGATCAGCTGAGAGGGTAAGCGAAGGATGAAATCCAGTCCAACCTCTTTATCACCAAGTCTTTCATCCCATCAAGGGTTGAATATGCCTGGAGAAAAGTGGAACTTTTTCTAAACCAACTGCCAAAACAGGTTAACATTCAAGTCTCTTTTTTCTACTTAACATAAAGGTACCTCAATGCCAGTCCTGGATCTGTCCAGTGATTGATTACAAGCCTTGATTCTGGAGTTAGTTGCAGATATACCTTCTGGTTTTGCCACTATTAGCCCTTACCATGGTCTGAGTGTTTGTATCTCCCAAGTTAATATGTTGAAATTTTAACCCCCAAGGTGATGGTATTAGGAGCTGAAGTCCTTATGGATGGGATTAGTGCCTTTATAAAGGAGGATGGAGGGAAGTAGTCAGCCCTTTACAGCAAGTGAGTTTAAAGCGAGAAGATGGCTATGTGGAAGCAAATCCTCACCAGACACTGCTGTTTGATCCCAGACTTTCCAGAGAACTGTGAAAAATAAACTACTGTTGTTTATAAGCTACCCAATCTATGGTATTTTGTTACAGCAGCCCAAATGAAAAAAGACCAGCTTATCTACCTCAGCTTCCTTACCTGTTAAATGGGATTATAATATTTCCCCTGGGTGGCTGTGGTTTTTGTTCAGGTGGCGAATGGGATGCCATCCATTTTCAAAGATCTTTGTTTTGTCAACCTTACTGAGGTATAACTTACATATAATAAAATGTACAAACATTAAGTATACAATTTTCTGAGTTATGATAATGTAAACCAGGGACCAGACAGGCAACCAATGTACTTTTTACACTGTTCAGAGATTGTATCAGGTTCTGTGTAAGTTACAAAATAGCATAAAGCACCCTTAGTTAATCTGGTTAAAACCTTGATTAGGTTAGGCCTTAGATACAAGTTCTGACGGCTCTCAACTTCCTCTGTATAACACACATCCCATTATCTGTCACGCTCCTCGCCTGTAAAGCTTTTTGAGAGCATCTTCCGCAGTCTTTTCTCTGCTGTATTGCAGGCATCTACCACAGTGCACAGGCATTCCACAAGCACTTGTTCCAAGACAAATGAATCTACATATAAAGTTAACGAGTATCATGCCGAGTTTGCGCCAAACAAAACTTACACTCATTTGGAGAAGACCCAGATCAAACTCACAGGTTAGTAGTAAACAGTGAAGAACTGCGGAGAAGGCAGCATTTGAGAAGGGTCAGGTTTCTTTTTTATTTAGACAGAGCCTCAGCTGTCCCCCTGGGTAGAGTACTGTGGCATCACAACTCACAGCAACCTCCAGCTCCTGGGCTCAAGCGAGTCTCCTGCCTCAGCCTCCCAAGTAGCTGGGACTACAGGTGCCCGCCACAACGCCCGGCTATTTTTTTTTTTTTTTTTTTGGTTGCAGCCGTCATTGTTGTTTGGCGGGTCCGGGCTGGATTCGAACCTGCCACCTTAGGTGTATGTGGCTGGCGCCTTAGCCACTTGAGCCACAGGCGTCGAGCCAAGGGTTAGGTTTCAATAGGATTAAAGAACAATTCAGAACCAAACCAAGTACTTGGGAAAGATAAAAGTGGATGGGCTAAAACGCCTGCCTACAGCTCACAGTGCAAAAACCTTGGTGGGGTTAAATGTGATTATCCATCTTCTAACTTTCGTTCAGCGACCACACTATCAGACTGCTCAGCAGAGTTGGAGGATTAAAAGATGCCCATAGCTGCATGGTCTTCCCGCTCCACTATGGGCAGACACTTCTAGAGGTATAAACTATGTGCCCTCAAGAGGCCAGGAAAGACATCTTCTTCAGACCTCTGTGCCGTTCAAGCACATGCGCTCTGATCGGATCCGCAGGGTGCCCTCTTCTGGCGAAAAATCGGCTCCACCCTCTCTAATCACCGTCCGTTGCAAGCCGAACTGTATCGCCGCAGAGATGCCCGCGAGACAGCCCAGGATAACAAACGGAACTCACAAGGCGGGCGAGTTCCGTAGGCCGGTACCTAAAAAGAGCGGGCCTCTAGCGACCTTCGGCGGATGGCGGCTCCCGAGGCCCGCGTGGCGCCCCCGCTCATGTCCCGCGCGGGAGCAACGCACCGGGACAGGGCGAAACTTTCACTTCCCCCCTCTCTGGTGAGGACTGTTCCAGTCCATTCTCCCGTGAATGTCTCACTTGTCTAACGGCGACCGCGAGCCCCGCCCCTCCCAGGGCCGCGCGCGCCGCGCCGGAAGTGACGCGCTGTGCGTCTTCCCGCCCTGCCCAGCGCTTGCTGTTCCGTGGCGGGAACTGAGGTGGCGGTGGGGACGGCGGTGATTGTAAGTCTCCTGGGCCCGTTATTCTCAGATTGGGGGACCGAGCGACGACCTCACAACCACCTGTTTTTTGTCTGTCCCGGAAACCCCAGGGACGAGCCGGCGGGGTGCTCGCTCTGGCGGCTGCGAGGCCCGGACTGTAGTGGCTGTCTGAAGCGGGGTTAGCAGGGCACCCTCTGGGGAAAGTGCAAGCTTGTCTTCGCCTTTCCCACTCCTGCCCTGATGACCCCACCTGAGTCTTCCACCTCCCACGTAGCCCCAGCCTAGCCACCCTCTCATACCTTGCCTGCCCTGGGTGGTTCAATACAGCATCTTCCAGAGACCTGCTTCAGGCTGTTTCAATGTTTAGCAGACAGAGACAGGGATGGAGTAATCCAATAACGTTAAAATCAAAAATTTTTTAGATATTAAAAATGTATTTTATTGTCTTGAGTATATGACCATATGCCAAGCACAGAACTACGTGTTTGCATCCATTCTTTTGTTTAATTCAGTTGCCTTATGGATTAAGATTTAGCTCCTTTTACAAAACAGGAAACAGTCTCACAGATGGTAATTCATTCTACCAAATACCAGGCGTTGTTCTAGAGACCAGAGCACGTAGCAGTGAAAAAAAAGAAAATAGAATTGTCATAGATGCTAGGGAATTCCAGGCAAGCTAAAGATGCTTTTTTTTAATCCCTAAAAACAACCTGGAAGAATGTATACCCGAATGTTAACAGTAGTTATCTTCAGGATGAAGATTTGTATGAATTTTTAAAATTGCTCACAGTTTTCTGCATTGTTTTGATTTCTCCAAATGAGCATGTTAACAGAAAAACAGATGTTTTTATATTAACAACAGAGTCCCTCACCCTTCCTTCCCCACTACAAGTCTCTGAAGGAAGGCATTGGCTCTGTCAACAAAAAGATCTTGAGTAGAACTCTGGTCCAAAAAAAGAAGTAAAGATTCTCATTTGTGGTGCCAGCGGTTTTAATTGCTGAGTCCATTTCAGCATGTAACAAGAGCTAGACCCATGACTACAAAGGAAGAGACCAGAGACCTGTGTACAGCTTGGCTCTTAATGGTGTCATATTTACCAATGTGTTCAGGACTCTTAAAAACTTTGCTGACATACAATTTATCTTTGTTCTATAATTCCTGCATTACAAATAGATTCTAAGTTTCTTAAAGACTTTGGCCTCTTTTATATCCTTGTATCTCTCAGTACAATGCATTCAGAGTATCCTAGGTCATGGGGTGATGTCCTTTATTAAGTAATTACTGATGCCTTTGCACAAGGTTTTTCAGGGTGTACTTCCTCACAATAGTTTCAAAAAAGCTTTTCATTTTCTGTCTTGCATCTGGTCAGGGAGAAGTAACAATGCAGGCATTTCTAAAAGGCACATCTATCAGTACTAAACCACCAGTGACCAAGGATCATCGAGGAGTAGCAGCCACTGCAGGAAGCAGTGGTGAGAACAAGAAAGCCAAGCCTGTTCCCTGGGTGGAAAAATAGTAAGAACACTGAATTTTTGTCAAAATAATTAATAAATTGCTTCTCTAAACATTTCTGATCAGGTGGTTTTTTTTGTTTTTTTTTGGTTTTTTTTTTAACTTATGGAGGAATGATTTGCTCTGTTTAGATGATGGCCTTGAAAATCACCCAGTCACAGAACCTTGGAACTAAAAGTTACCTTAAAATGATCTAGTTTAATTCCTCTATTTTATAGATGAACTAAGATCTCTACAACTGAAGTCTACTGATTTAGGATACAGAAGTGAAGAAAATTCTCTAAAAAAGTTTCTGTAAGCTAGCTGTGAATTCAGGGGCTCTACTTTAAATACGCAGTCTGTTCCCCTTTTCATACTAATGGGTGGAAATTGTTGAGTTTTTGTTAGCTTATATATTTTTAGCAAAAACAACACTTAAATTGTCAAATCAGCTAAATGATACTATGGCAAGTAATTACAACCACTGGATGTAGTCTCAGTTATTATCATAGGTGCACATTACTTACAGGCCAAGTAATGCCTTCATATGTTTTGTTTAGCTCCAATGCCCATAAGAATCTAGATGTTTTTCATTATACACAGGGTGGGGAGTCCAGATTTTCAGCTTCTGATGAGATCAAGCAACATTGGGTACATGTTGTCACATGACAAGAATTGATGGACTTGTGTACTCCACTCCTCCTTTTGGAGAAGTCATGTTCCTCAGTTTGCCGTTGTCCCTATTATCTCTTGTTTGATACTTTGCCTTTCTTACTCTTACCTGCCTAACCCCTGTGCTTTATAACATACATTGGTTATCTTACATAATTCCTGCTTAGAGTTACCTGGTTAATCAGAAAAGTATGGATCAAAGTTAACTTTTGATTAGTTAATTAAACACAAGCTTAGTCTTAGAGTTGGGAGTATAACTTTGTTGTGTTAGCTTCTTTTCAAATCACTAATGATATAAGATGAACTTATATATATTATGAATTGTATATATTATGTCATATTGTTTTAACTTGTTTTGTTAGCCCTCAATGAAATAAATAAGTCTCTATTTTTTTTGTATAATTAGGTGATTGAAAAAATTGACACATGTATTGACCAATTAACATATTAAGTATATATCTGTAATTACCTTAACCTAAATAGTTACCTACCTTTAAGTTATTAAATAATATTCCCTTTTCAGCTTAGGTACATGGTCTTATTTTATCAAAATACAATATTATGCTCTAACCAAGTACTTACTTATTTTTATCAGCATTTGTGGTATATAAAACAAAATCCTTTTGCTTAGTTTTTGTGAGCATAACAGATGTAAGCAATTCAGATGGGAGGCGAAAAATTACTGTAGATCTTCTTTAAGTTGACTACCCAAGAAACTAGAATAATCTGGTTAATGTACAGAGGTGGCCAACGTAAGGAATTTTAATTAAATACATGTGGTATGTGTCTGGTACATGAAAATTAGGGCTACATAAGGAGGTGGTCAATGTAGGGAGGCAGTCAACTATAGAGGTTCTACTGTATTTCAATATGTATTTGCTTAAGGTAAATACAAATGGGGTTTCCACCTACTTCCAATTATGAAAAAGTTTCTCATTTCATTACTGATATTTGAGAATTGTCACTGGTATTTTAGAAGGAACACCTGAGATTTTTCTGTAACTAACTTCTCTTTCTCCTCCACTACCTTTCTCCTCCAGTCGTCCAAAATCTGTGGATGAAGTTGCTTTTCAGGATGAAGTGGTGGCAGTGCTCAAAAAGTCTTTAGAAGGAGCTGATGTGAGTAGCAAATGGTGTTCAGTGTCATTGGGAAATCAAAGGCTTAATTTATTCTCCCTTTATACCCTCTCACTCTCATTAAATACTATGCTATATAATGAATGGCCAACAAACACATGAAAAAAATGCTTATCATCCCTAATCATGAGAGAAATGCAAATCAGTCTCAAAGTTTCAAAGCTGCAGGTACTGGTGAGGGTGTGGGGAAAAGGGAACACTTAAACTATTGGGATTGCAAACTAATATAGCCTCTTTGGAAAAAAGTATGAGAATCCTTAAAGAACTAAAAGTAGACCTTACATTTGATCCCACTATCTTGTTACTAGATACCTACACAGAAGAAAAAAAATCATTTTACCATAGAGACATTTGCAGCAGATTGTTTATCACAGCTAAATTTACAGTCACTGAGAAGTGGAATCAACCCACATGCTCATCAACACATGAGTAGATTAATAAACTGTGGTATATGTAGACCATAGAATACTATTCAGCCATAAAAAAGATGGAGGGCAGCATCTGTGGCTCAGAAGGGTAGGGTGCTGGCCCCATATACTGGAGGTGGCAGGTTCAAACCCAGACCCGCCCCCCCGCAAAAAAAAAAAGATGGAAACTTCACATCTTTTGTATTAATCTGATAGAGTTAGAGAACATTCTACTTAGGAAGGTATCACAAGAATAGAAAAACAAGTATCCAGTGTACTCAATACTAGAATGAAACCAGTAGAAAAACAAATATACACCCACCCAAGAGAAAAACACAAACTCAAGTGGGGCAGAGAGAGGATTGGTGTGTTCTCACCTAATAGGCACCATGTAAGGGTGTAAGGGATATGGCACAGCTCCTGGGTGGACGGCACAATTACAACTCGAACTCTAACAAATGCAAACAATGTAGTCTAATTGTACCCTCATATTAATCTAAATAAAATAAAGATACAATGCTGTATATATAGTAGGTCCTTGATAACCATTTGTACAAAGACATGATACTGTATATATAGTAGATTCGTGATAACTATTTGTACAAATATTTATTGAGTATCTCCTGTTCAATCTTATATATAATTATTATGTAGAATTAAATAAAGGTCATCGACCAGGACAAACTTAACTCCCTTTTTTCATGAGCTTCCATTTGGTGGGGGGGGAGAGAGCATAAATAAGTAATCCAATAAATAATTATAGATAATGTTCTATAAAGAAGAGTCAGAGAGTCTTTGAAAGTATAATTGCTCACCTAACTTTACGATTTGATTTGAACTGTAATACAAAAAAAAAAATTGAGCATTTAATTCTGCTTATAGCATTGTGTCTCCCGTTGTGATATATGGTATATATCCTTGAGTAACTTGCATTTAGATTATTCAGAAGCAAGATAAACTCAAAGGAAAATTAGCGACTTCACATTGTATATGGTGAAATGCCCAAAATGCTTTAAGAGGTCAGGGAAGGGAAGAAGAGAGTTATAGATAAAAGTAGGATGTGGGAGGCATGGTGGCTCACACCTGTAAATCCTAGCACTCTGGGGAGGCGGAGGTGGGTAGATAACATGCGTTCACAGGTTGGAGACCAGCCTGAGCAAGAATGAGATCCAGTCTCTAAAAATAGCCAGGCAAGGGCAACAAAGTGAGAACTGTCTCAAAAATAAATAAGTAAATAAACAAATAAATGCGGGATGTGGGTTTGCTTTATTCCCAAGATGTGTATCCTTCCCCCTTAGTCTGGCTGCTTTTAATTAGAGTTTCTTTGGGGTTTTGCTGCCTTTATTCTCTTCCTGGAATTATACTTATTACTACAGGACACATTTTGAAAGGAGTTAAATTTATAAAACTGTGTAGAATCTTTTTACTTACCAGTAGTTGTTTTAATTTGATCCAAATAACCCTTTACCTTTTAATTTTAGGATAGTTTAAAATTTTAACTGCATAGTAGTATTTACACAGATTACAGAACAATAGCCAATTACTATTAATACTATCTTCAGCTCTTTAGGCAAATGTAGTGGGATTAAGATCTAATTCTTGACATTATGCCATTTATAAAGCTTTCTTCTTTAATCTCTTGTCTAAGATTTTGTGGTTCTTTTCAGATGAAGTTTTATAAAAAGATCAAGTAACATTTTATTTTTTTGAGACAGAGCCAGTCTGTCACCCTGGGTAGAGTACCGGGCATCATAGCTCATAGCAACCTCAAACTCTTGGGCTCAAGCAATCCTCTTGCCTCACCCTCTGGAGTAGCTGGGACTATAGGCATGTACCACTGTGCCTGGCTAGTTTTTTCTATTTTTATTAGAGATGAGGGTCTTGCTCTTGCTCAGGTTGGTTTTGAACTGCTGACCTTAAGCAGTCCACCCCTCTCAGCCTCCCAGAGTACAAGGATTACAGGAGTGAGCCACTGCACCTGACCTCAAGTAACTTTAGAATAAAGGAGTCTGGGTGCACTGGCTCATGCCTATAATCTCAGCACTTTGAGAAGCTGAGGTGGGAGGATCACTTGAGGCCAGGAGTTTGAATCCAGCCTGGGCAATATAGTAGAGACCTTCTCTCTCCAAAAACATTTTTTTAAAAATTAGGTTGGGGGCTCGGCGC